ATTATTATTGTTATTATAACTATTACTATTGATATTACTCTGTTTGCAATTCTTCTTATATTCTCTAATGACTAATTGTTCATCTAAGCGGTGTAATTGAAGCGTAATTCATTTTATCTTGATTTCACTCTCTCATACTCCCTCTCCCCTTATCTATTTGGACGTGACCTGGAAAAAATTCTCACCTGTCTCTCTTTATGACTAATTCAATGTGGTTTATTTACTTACCGGTCTTATATCTCCCGATGTAATTTCAAAAGTATATATATCCAGGAAAATACCCATTGAGTCATGAACATAAACGGCCACTGTGCGTCGGTGGCACAGTGGTTAGGACTCTCGCCGACCATGCACATGGTCCGAGGTTCGAGCCCACGCCGACGCACACCTGATATCTATGGTCGGCCTGGGAATTTCGGGCTACCGATATCCACGCTGAAAATTCCATACTTGTACAAAAAATACTGTGTGGAATCAAGCTGTAATAAAAAAAAGACAGATTCAGTGAAGAAAATTTTCTTTATCGACGAAATCATCTTCAGAGGCTGTACTGTCGTGTTTATACTTAGAAAAATAGGCCACGTAGCTCCACCAGAGTCGTCTTTCAACATCATCTACAAAGTGAAGCCAAATTATACAAAGGGCGTCAGGTTTCGGGTTTTGTGTGCAGCGGAGGCGCTGGTAATACATCAATACAACCCTGAACTCTGTATACAGAAAAAGTTTGTCCAGTCTCTTATTCTACCTTGGTCATAACCTCTTCACTTATCGTTCCCTGTAAAATATTTTTGATTTTTTGCTTTTGTTCTTAATCTTTAATTTTACTTTTAGTTTGCTTTTGCTTCAGTAATTAATTCACTATTATCAATTTCATTTGCTCCTTTTGTATATTTTCACACCCTCTTCACACTTGTTAAATTGACACTCTAATAACTTTATTCTCACTGAAGGGCAATTTTAACCTTTTCTAACTTCTATCTTTTTTCCGTTGAGTACCATGTAATTTACAACTTTTAACTTTTACTTCTAAAGCCACTTATGACTAATTACATCATTTATGTCACCGCCCTATTACTCAATAATAGACCACTATACATTTTTGTAAGTATAAATACGACTGTACAGTCAGCCTCTGAAGATGATTTCGTTGATAAAGAAAATTTTCTTCGCTGTATATATATCCGTGTATATAGAGTATTCAGCAGATGACGAGTTTTACCGAAATTTGATGAATCCATCATTAAATCCTGCCTTATTCACCTTTATTGCTTGTTTTAAAGCCTAGTCGGTTCATTTTATATAGATAAAATATTCGTTCACCATAATGGCCATTATCAATACATAGGTTAGATAGAATTAGTTTAGAATTATTGTAAGCTCGGGCGTTTCTTATGATCAGTCATTACAATCCACTAGACGAATAAGACATGTTAAAGCAGTGTAACTTAAAGTGAAAAGAAGCCAGAAGTGTATAAACGAGTGAGTGATGGTCAATAGATCAATATAAAACTAAGCAATAAAATTATTATGTTACGAAGTAAACACAGAAATACAATGAAGCTATAGTGGGTAAACATTCATGAGAGACTATTTATTGCCTTTCACAGTTGGATTTATTCTAATGTCTATTTTACATGAGATGGTCACTAGCGAATTGCCCTATTCTGGTAGGTAATTACCTGGGGGTCTAGTGAGAAGTTGTGACCAGCAGGGTACAGCAGGTCGGTTGTGAGGACAAATACTCGCCGAAAACACTGGCTAGGGGTCGCCAAATGTTGTAAATTGGCAGAAGGTAGAATTCATGGGCCATTGGATCGAGTCCCAGTGGCTCAATGGTCTACGAGTTCACTAGCCTTGTAACCAGAAGGACCTGGGTTCGAACCCCGTGGTGTGGGTGCGTACTTCTGAAGAGTCCCAAACTTGGACAAAACAGCTGTCCAGTACTTCCAGGTTTTCCAATGGTTCTCTAACTAATGTCAGCTCATGATGAAATCCTGTAACCAATAAAATCCCTACAAACCAACACTTGCATGGTTTCGTTTCATGAGTAGGTAACACGGCAAGTTTTGGATTCTGAAAATAAGTTCGAACCCTATGGTGCACAAACATATCAAGATAATCACTAGTTTACTGGTTAACACATGGCTAATCATTTAGGCATAGGCAGAATCATAAATTTAATGAATGGCCTCATTCGTCAATTTTAAACTTCACGCCCCATCTAAACTGCTAAAATTGTAAAAAGTCAAAATGACTGTGGTCTTCTTAATCTCTATGATTTCGTCTTTTAAAAATGTTTTTTAACAGACACATGTGATTCAAGATCAGTGATCAATCATAAAGTATGAATGTTGCAAATAAGATCACTGTAGTTTTTTTGTTACACAAGCTTTATTAGAGAATTTCAAGACCGAATTAACACTTTAGGTTGGTGAAAACTGGTCATCATCGTTAGATGCTTTAAAATTCTAACAACACACTACGTTTTATGGCTGATAGTTTTAAAAAATGTATTGCATATTCAAACGAAGCTGTGAATTTACATCGACTGAAACAGTTTGGATATGTTTTACTTATACCTAGCCATCGCCTTCCTGGACAATGGGCAATGTTAGCTGATATAAGATCAGGTTGAAAAAGAGCCAGTGGTGGTTAAACCAAAACATGGATTCATCAGTCAATGAAATCGACAACAGTTAGTTTAAGCCAGCCATGTAGGAAGAAGTAAACTTCCTGGTTGGAGTCCTCGGGACAGTATAAACCAATGAGGACCGGAGACAATCGGTGATATGGCTCAAAATCGTAGTTGAAAATGGCTGGAGCAGATGCATCCACTCACTGTGACTTGTAATTTCCAATGAAACTATATTGTTCTTCGATATTGCTATTCTTTTTGTCTCGCATCCCTGCCAACTGTCTCTATTATGCATTTTTTTACTTTCTTCTGTTGCTTTGTGTGCTACATGGATTGTGGCGACTCGAACTGCTGTACATCGGTGCAGAGTTTTATGTTGAAACTAGACAGACAGACAGATTCAGATAGTGCGAGAAATGCTCAGTATATTTCAGACTTAATACGAGAATGTTGGCAATCCTGAGTGGCAATCGACCAGAGTGATAAGCTAATAGAAAGGAGTGCTCATTTGAGTGTATGAAGTTCAGTAGTTATCAATAAAGCATGAAACGAATATGAGAGCATAAAAATTATTTTTCAGGGTGACTTTATAATAGGATTATGATGCCAATGAATACCACAGACGGAAATTTTTGGTAACCGTTTTGGATGAAAACACTCAAAAAATCTTTCAACTACTACATGATGAATCGACACAGAATTTAACACAAACTCTAGATAAGAAACATGAGTAATAAAGGTCAGGTTAGGGATTCTCAGAATCTGGAAGATGCTGAGAAGCAAACACATTAGTGTCAACATCAAAGATCTAAGGTCATGCCACCAAGTCTCCAGTCATCGATTCTTACCATTCAGAGGATTTCAACAAGGTGCTATTCACCTTATAACACGGATCAGGCCAATAATCGTTAGCTAACTGTTACATACGTCCCTTTAGGCTGGGTCTACTTGAGCTACCATACCATGTATCACGTGTGCTAGACAACTCAAAAGATGAAAACTTAAGTTTTCTCATACTTTAAGCTTAATCAAGTTGGTTGCCGATAAATATATAGAAGAATTATCCAATAAATTAACAACATCACTAAATAATCTTTTTCTCTTTAAACCAATATGTGACGAAAATCAAAAGGAAGATATTGACTGTTGGTCTACGCCAAAAGCCACAGATTGTGTGGCGCGAAAATGTCTTACCTTCAAACCAGGTGTTTCCATTCTGAAGAAGGAACTTTAAGATGACATATGACCTCCTGTATCATCTTTCAGATACTCGTTTCAAATAAGGGGAATGTTACAAACGTTCACAATGACAGACTGGAACAAAGTTTATGAGATAGTTATATATGGGCTAGTATATGCACTGACCATAGAAGACTCGCCAAAATCTGACATACAGTTAAAACCTTAAGCCTATTCTAAGTTAATTCAGAATTTATCTGGCAATCATTTACACATAGAAAGCCAGTAAATCTTGCAATTTTTAAAATTTACAAATGCGTTACATCGTTAAAGATCATACTGTCACAATTTTTATTTGGCTATGAGTCAGTCAATCAAACAGAAATCATCCACCTAAGCTACAAATCTCTATTATGCTGTCGCCGAAGATGAACACTAGTTCAAAGTTGATCAAGTCACAAGTGCTTGAAAACAGTCAAATGAAACTTTACGGAAAAAACTATTTTTCACTATGGAATCTCATCCACTCCATAAACATTCTTGCTGATACGAAGACGGAATGACAGTATAAAACTGTAAGCAGAGTTTTCCTGTCTATTTAACACTACAGCACAGGTAACTCCATTAAAATACGTCAAACTTATGGATAGAACACAAAAACCATTTTACGAATGCCAAGATTTCAAACGCGGTATATGAAAAGCCAAGAGCCTACTGCAATTCAGGATAATCATTCCTTATAATCGGATAAATAAATGAGAGAAATCTTCAAATAATTATTTTCTAAGGTGATGAAAGTCAAAGTAAAAATAGGCCGTGACTGTGTACATGAGTGATTCGTTGGTAGATTGATAGACAACTAACCACAAAAGTTGCCATATCACAAAATAAACACATAAATAGGGTGAAATTATAGTAGATGAACGTGCGTCAGAGATGATTCTTTGTCACAGTCAAAATCAGTCTAATGTCTATATTCCATGGTCCCCTTTCACGTGTGTGTGGGAATGTGACGAGAGGAGTTTTGGATTCTGAAAACAAGTTCGAATCCCATGGCGAATAAACTCATTAAAACCGTTCATAAATAATGAAACGAATCAAGACTGAGTACAAACTTTACATCGGAGGATTACATATGCAATTATGCACAGATAGTACGAACTCATTTATAAACCCAGTTACTCACCTTTAGAATATAAACCCTCCTATTTCTTGACCAAGGTAGCCTGACTAGACAGTATGTCCCATCGGGTGATATTTTGCCTATAGTTGATTCAGGACTGAATAAAACTGTCTGCCGACCAAATGACCCAAGAAACTTATTAATTCGTAAATCCACTAATGCGAATTGAGTGATCATATCTCGAGCCAAGTGAACAACTGCCAAACCGCTGTGAATGTCTAACACAGACTTAAAATGCAGGTTCTTAACGTAAACCAATGATGCCATTTGATTACCTGTATGGAAGATAAATGTGCAGGTATGTGATTGTATTCAAAATGTTCTGCCATTTTTGTATATTCTCTACGCTTCCTCAAAGAAAATACAGAACACGACTTCCTAAAGTTGACTATATTCTGTCTGGTAAGACAGAATGCTGAAGTGCAATCGTGTGGCACTTGATAAGTGCACACCATTACTTTGTCCGGAAAATTAAAAAGTTCTATATGTGTTCTGATATGAGAAAGGATATTCGTTACCTCTATGAGATTTTCTCCATAATTCCAATGTACACTGGTGAACAATCCTGCCCGGCAAAACAGGTGCGAAGAAACATAAATTTGGTGCATTGCAAGTAGTCTTATTAGGCTGACCAATCTTACTCTCTTCAAGTCCCATTACAAGTGATAGCTCATTGTGTATGTTGAAAGAAGCGCTAACTGATTAGCAGAGTAAAACAATAGACAATATCCAATGTCATTGTCTCGAGGTGATCTCTTGCGTTCAAAATGATGTGTCTGTCTATTCAAATCCCCGAGATAAATTCTTCATAACTTTTTTAAATCATCACCAATTTCCAGTTAGTCTCACCTGTTTCGTTAGCGTTAGAAGGCTTCAGGGCAGTACTATCTGTACCTACCCACTCCCTTTTAGAAACAGCTAATCTTATACATTCCTGGTGATTTCCCTGTAACTGTCTAACCTGGTGGAAAAATGAGAGAAGACTGATCAGTTCTATGGTCTTTCTTAGAGTTCCAACATCCTGATTACAACTCGTCTGTTCTGTGGTACTATGGCAGCCTGTAGACGGCCGTAATTTTGAGTGACCGCGAATGAGATAAACAAGCGATTTGCTCGCTCGTGATTGGCCAGTTTGTCATTCTAGCTGAGGTAATTTCAAACATCATTTTGCTGCTTGGTTAAGTACTGAAATTCCGGGATCGTTTTATCAAATTTGAGAGATAACTGACAACAGAAACTATTACAGCTCAGGAGGGAAATGGAATACCGGTGGATTTATTTGCTGAATTCAACGAATTCATGCCAAATTAAGATCTAAGGACTTCTTAGGGGTGTGAAGAATGCAAACAATGTTCTGAAGAGGTAATAACTTCACGCAACTTCAATTATTGCTTGACCATTATTTTCAGAGATCCTTAAATAAGTATGATATACACAGTGGTCTGGCTAATCATGATCAAAATGGCATGGTTCATGCAGCATATACATATACTCATGTATATGTAGGTAAACCTAGATAAACTGTGTTCTTGTCACGAAGATCGGAAAGCAGGTATCAGATGTCTCAGTAAGCAGTGTAATACATGTAAGTTACATGTTTTTATTTGACACAAGCTGGATCTTCACTCACTTTCAGAATTAATCTTGAATTCAGTTGGAATAAGCTTGTTGAGCACATCAGTATTGAGAGAATACAGTGAAAGTAAGTAAACACATGCTTCTTAAGATTAAGTGATACATTTATTTGACATGATTGTATAATTATTAGTTGTCTATCTAAGTTAATGATGAATTCGTTGCGATGATAATACCTATTATTGTTTTTATAGTCACTATGAACATGAATGTCATTATTATTGCTGTCAATACCTATTATTTTTCATAAAGTGGTTGTCATTTTTGCTAAAATATTTGTACAAGCTTTGAAAACTACTGCATAACTTGTTGTTAGATAATTTTATCATTTCATGATGCTTCAATGGACCTACTGGATATCGACCAGCGATAGGTTGCAAAGTCCCTTAAGTTTAGTGAAAACTATTGGGCTACTTATATGTACATATATATATATATATATTGTTTGTAAAGTGATTACTTGTAAATGCTTATCAGGAAAAATTTTTTATTCAGATCATGCATGTAATACCCAAGTTAATTATGCTTTTCTTAAACCTTTTCAGACTTATGTAAAAACATATATGTGCCGTGTTCTCAGATGGAACTTACTGACGGTAACAAAGGACTACTCATCTGAATTATCTGTACATTTGAAATCTGATTTTTGTTTAATAAACAATTTTTCAATGAATCTGTCTTCCTTCTGTTGTAATGCGATTGTGTTCCAGTAACATAAGTAACACGTGCTAAGTTAGAAGTTGAGGGTAAACTGTTAGGAGTAAATGCGGTGTCTGGAAAACTTTTGTTTACGTGGTTATATGAGCAGATAGCAACGCATCGTGTTCCGTGGGTGAGAGCCCTAGGCATTCTGTTTTTAATTATTACGATAACCGTAGTTGCACTGAGTTATACATCTAACAGCATAGGTATAGTCTCTCCTTATGGTACATTGCGACATGCAGAAATCACAAGCAAACTATCTCAGGTAGATTTATTCTCAATTGGTGACTATGAATCGGGAATCAGTTTACGTATTCTGCTATGACGATATATAACTCGAAACGCTTTATAATCGCAACACCTTCTCTACGGTTTAGGCATATTTACTTTATTTGACCACAACATAATCTTTTACCAATAGGCTTTTCCAAATATCTGCTCCTACTTAGTATTTCAAAGATAGCCTCATATACTCTATACCTCACATATTACGCAAGGGCTAATATTCGGTCTTATCAAGTAGAATAAACAAACGAATAACGAGGAATACATTTATTAATGAATTAACATGTAATACAAAATCGACAACAGTGCAGGTATCTTTTTCTTTATCACCCAAATCCATGAAATTCCCGAAAGTAGATATTATCTGAAAAAGAACATAAGAATTATACAGATGTAGACATTGTTATCAGTGTTAACACAATAATTAACCATTAAATATGTTTAAAATGACGAAATAATTACTTGAATTGTATATAATTATGTAAGTCAACAGTTTTCAATAATATAAAATCCATATTGCATCTGCCTGCAAACATCAAGTTTATGCCATAAAAAAAGGAATTACTTTGCGTATATAATTTCTAAGTATTTCTGCAGATTTTTCCTAAAGAAATACATATGGAGTAGCCTTGTCAGCATTACGAAAATTAAACAAGGAAGTAAATGATGTAATTACCGAAACGAGCTATCCCACCTCGTCATGTCCATGTGTAATCCATTAAAATGCAAAGAAAATTCACGAAAAAATCATTATAACATGTTTCTTCAAGTAATTCGACGTATTTTGAACGGAAAAGTACGTTTTTCCAAAAAACTGCAAACTGCCTGTAAGCTACGGCCGGATAAGGACACCACCATTGCCTATTTCTGCTAAATACGCCGTATTTCATCAACTTTTAACTGGAATATGTGTAAAAAAGTGTGTAAAACAACGAAAAATGACCTAACCTTGACGTCATTTCCAAAAATAACGCCAATATTCATCAGCTGATCAAATGACCTACGGCCGTCTACAGGCTGCCTGGTACTATTAGGAGAAGAGATTCAAACTCCCAACCCGTAGGTCACATCAGTCAACACACTTGTGGTTTTATTTAAACTCTTTCCAAAAAATCAGTCTTCCTGTAACTAAAGCATTGTCAGCTGGATGAAGTTTTCTAATCTGACATCAAATACTTACATAGAGCAGCGAATGTTTTACTGGTATTCTGATGAAGAACCCCTTGTATCGCTCTTCATGATCTTAAACTGTGATTTTCCGCTGCTGGCCAGCGTGTCATGGTTTATATATCACGACTTGTGATGACTTATAATCCCTGAGTGCCTGGGATGAAGAGAGTAATTCTTTCTACCTTATATGCGCTAACATTTGGTTGCACACCACTGCATTTTTCGCTAGATTGATGGATAAAATCCATGCTTTGGACCAATCTAATAAATAGTCCACAACGTCGATATGTCATTGTCATCATCGAGCTCTCCTCATATTTAAACCTCATTTGCACACAGCCCCGTAGATTTCGTGAGACCAGGCAGTTCATTAATATGAAGGACATCATAGGACACAACTGAGCAAAATTGTTCGCGAACATAATTTTAAGGTGGTCGTGGCTTTTTGCCCCCTACACAATAGGAATTCGTTGATCATTTTGCGCATGTCACCTTAATTACAAAACCTTTTAGTTTAGATATAATGGAGAAATCCTCTGCCATTCATTCTGTCCAAAGTTTTGTACGAATACGTGGAGGTAAAGTCGATGGGTTTGTTGTTAATAACATAATACACATTTATTCCTGTCTATGTAGGGCACACCAGTTGTGCAGGCATGCATAAGTATTATTTACATTACATGAATTTGATTTAAGGTGAAATTACAAGGTCGCTGTCTTCGCTGACATAAGTTTGTGTGTACAATCTGATAGCTAGTCGTTCAATGTAGCACATTAAGAAATACAGAAATATTGTCTTCGCATTAACAAAAAAACCCAAACATGTGTTGGATGGATTACAAATACTTGGAAAAAAATAAAGCTTGAAGACAATCTCTCCATATAATTTTGCAGTGTGCGGCATCATATCCTGTTGTCCGTTATGCATAACCAGTTTTGTCTACTCTTGTTGCTATTCATCAGAACTCTTTCCTCGCGTTCAAAGGGATCCATGCACCTTCAAAAACACATCTAAGTCCCACCCCGTTTTTTTCAATCCTCCCTGGATGGCTCCACGATCAACCTTAAGCATTCACCTCCCCTCTAAACATGTCTCTCACGTCATCACCTAAGTGACACCCAACTAATCGCTTTCCATTTGAGGTAAACCCGAGATTTGATGTCATTGTGTGAGACATCTCCATTTTCTCTGGCCTACATGCTGGGCTATAGTTTCATTATTCTTCCGTTGGCAGCGCTTCTTACTGTGCACCGCTTTTACCCAACCGACGTTCAACACACAGCGAAGTAGTCCGTTGTTGAAAGTCTGAAGTTTTCACGAACGCTTCGCTTGACGTGTGCACCAAGTCTCTGAACCATGCTAAATCAGATTATCCACTGAATATTTTCCCACCTTCTCGCTTTCCTCGGCCTGTTGCATATATCAGTCCAACACGACATGGAATATCACCGATAATAGTAAGCGATCATGTCTTACCCTTGTTAACTGACTTCAAAGACCCCTGAGTTTGTCATTATGAACCACCTGAAATGTAGCACTACCCCATAATGATTTGAGGAACTCCATAGTGTTGCAGTAGTTTCCATATTATTTTGCGATCATCACTGTCACAGGCTTTTGCAAATATCTGAAAAACCCGAAAAAGTCGAAAATTATGTGCGTAAATAATTTTGTCTTATCAAAATGAGGACAAAAATTTTCGAAACGTGTTTCTTCCGGTTGCGCTGTGGTTATGCGTTGATTCAGGTAATAGAAACCACACTTCTTCATGATTAAGCCGACGCTAGAACTTAAGTGAAGACAATAGAAATATATTTCTTACTGCTCGGCTGGATGAGTCGGTTCTTCCTATAAGCAGGCCAAACTCTTCGGTGAATAACTCGCTAGGAATACACAGCGACACGGAGATTCATATAGAATACGTAGCAACTAATGTACATAAAACAATGTTTAATTACCCTCAGAGTAACAGACAAAATATCAGAAGTAGTAAACCCTAACATAAGAACATCACAACAAACCAATAACTACGTATAACTCCTGTTAAATGAAATCGCAAGCGAATTCAGATGAAAGTCAATGGGTCATTTTAACATATTAGTTATTTTATTAACAATATAAAT